TGGGCCTGGGCCTGTTCTGTACAATACTAAAGTTAACTTTCTTTTTCTTTCTTTCTTCCTTTCTTCCTTTCTTTCTTCCTTCCTTCCTTCCTTCCTTCCTTCCTTCCTTCCTTCCTTCCTTTCTTTCTTTTCAGGCAGAGTGGACAGTGAGAGAGAGAGACAGAGAGAAAGGTCTTCCTTTTGCTGTTGGTTCACCCTCCAATGGCCACCGCGGCCAGCGCGCTGCGGCTGGCGCATTGCGCTGATCCGAAGGCAGGAGCCAGGTGCTTCTCCTGGTCTCCCATGGGGTGCAGGGTCCAAGCACTTGGGCCATCATCCACTGCACTCCCTGGCCACAGCAGAGAGCTGGCCTGGAAGAGGGGCAACCGGGACAGAATCTGGTGCCCCGACTGGGACTGGAACCTGGTGTGCCGGCGCCGCAAGGCGGAGGATTAGCCTAGTGAGCCACAACGCCAGCCGACTTTCATTAGGTCTGATTGCATGCCTGGCGCAGTGCTACTTGCTGTACATATGTGACCCACTAACTCTCACAGAAGCTCTAGAAATGCATGAGCTGGTGACTACCCAATTGCCCTCAATCTCCGGCCTGCCCTTGTTCCACTCCATAAAGATCACATTTTCCCAGGACCCCTGGATCCTCCTTAGATTCAGCCAGTAAGTGGTGGCCAAGGCTGGGGGACAGGATGAGGGAAGCGCTTGGACTCTGGCTCCGGCAGCAGCTGTGGCTTCCCCAGCCTCGGCGTCTGGGCTGTGGTGTCGCTGCCTCCCTGGTCGTGTTGCCAGCCTCGGCCTTCTGGATGCAGGTTGTCTCCCATCCTGTTTGGCTTCTCAGCTCTGCTGTCACCCGGGGAACTCACGCCCCAAGTCAAATGCCCTCCCTGGAGAGGGTACTGGCTGCGATGTTCAGGATGCCCGAGTTCATGTCCGGCTCCACTTCTGAGTCCAGTTTCCTGCTCATGCACACCCTGAGAGGCACCAGGGGATGACTCAAGGACTTGGGTCCCTGCCACCCACGTGAGAGACTTTATTGAGTTCCCAGATGCTAGCTATGGTTTGGTCCAGCCCTTGTTGCTGGCATTTGGGGAGTCAACTCTCCCTCTCTCTCTCCCTTTCTCCCACCCCCACTCCATCTGTGACTCTGCCTTCCAAATGAATACAAATAGACAAATAAAAATTTAAGTACCCCCTTTCTGAAATGCCTGAAGAGGCATTTTATATCCTGACTGATAGTTACTGATAGAGTATGGAAAGTCACCATGCATCCAGACTCTAACTGAGGCTCAGAGGCACTGAGAAACAGCCCCGGCGAGGTCATTCAGCCCGTGCCTCTGACCCACGAGGAAGCCTGGCCTCGATGCATAAACAAAAGGGCATCCAGTGATTACAAAACAAGGCTGAAATTTGGACTCATCAGGCTCAGAGAACGTCTCACCTGCGTCTGTACTGTGCCCGATGAGAAGACTTCTGTTCTCAGCCTACTGATCGCTTCAGCACGTTGGATGACTTTGGAGATATTCCTTCACCATCATGAAGCTGCCTTAAGTACTTCACGGGGTGATTTGAGTAGAAAGTACAAGGCATGGGGCCGGCACTATGGCTCAATGGGTTAAGCCTACAGCACTGGCATCCCATATGGGCGCCAGCTGGACACCTGGCTGCTCTATTTCTGATCCAGCTCCCTGCTAATGCACCTGGGAAAGCAGTGGAAGATGGCCCAAGTGCTTGGGCCCCTGCACCCACATGGGAGACACAAAAGAAGCTCCTGGCTCCTGGCTTGGCCTGGCCCAGCTCCAGCCATCATGGCCATTTGGGGAGTGAAACAGCAGATAGAAAACTCTCTCTGCTTCTACCTCTGTCGTTCCCCCTCTTCATGGAGGAACGACACTAAGTCCTGCCTAGGCTTCATATCCGAGTCACGGCACCATTATGTCGCTCCCCCTCTTCGTGGAGGAACGACACTAAACCCTGCCTAGGCTTCATATCCGAGTCACAGCACCATTATGTCGCTCCCCGTCTTCGTGGAGGAACGACACAGGACCCTGCGCTGTTCTTTCGTCTGCTTGGCCCTCCCCGGGTTTGCTGCTGGTTCTTCCCGGGTTGGCTACTATCCCTTCCACCTCCGTGGAAGGGCAGTTCCCCCTGGCCACATTCCCCACTTCCGCAGGGGAGCGGCACACCGCCGGCCGGCTTTCTCGGGGGCTGCACAGGTGTTCCTTCAGCTAGATGTTCCCCTTAGATGTTCCCCTTAGATGTTCCTGGTGCATGCCGTCTCTCTCCTCCTTTATAGTCCTCCTCCGCCAATCCTAACTCGGCTGCCCACACGCCGAGTACGCTGCTCTCCTCCAATCAGGAGCAAGTCCTACAGCTTGTCAAGTTGATTAGAGGCAGCTGGGTAGAAGCTGTTTTCTCCTCTCCCAGCGCCATATTGTGGGAGAGCAGATGCATAGAATAAGTCTTAATTCCAGTAACTCAGTCTAGTCCGGGTTGCTCCCCACAACCTCTCCCTCCCTCTCTCTGTAACTTCACCTTTCAAACAAATAAATACATCTTTGTATACATATAAAAGTACAAGGCAAATAGGAGGTGAGACTTAGCAACTTGGATTTTCCCAGGGAACCATGCCCTGAGGGTGGGTTCTCGGTGGTGCTGTCCAGTTCACGTGGGCATGAGGGTGCTGTGCAGCTCCTTGGGTTCAATCGCAAGTCCAACACAGAATTTTGAATGACTGCCATGTGTTAGGCTCTTGGGATTTAGCAATGAACAAAACAGGCAAAAAGCCACTGCCCTCAAATACAGTCTATTTTCCATTTAGTTTTTTTTTTTAAAGATTTTATTTATTTACTTGACAGAGTTACAGAGAGAGAGGCAGAGGCAGAGAGAAAGAGAGAGAGAGAGAGAGAGAGAGAGAGAGAGAGAGAAAGAGAGAGAGAGAGGTCTTCCATCTACTGGTTCACTCCCCAAATGGCTGCAGGGGCCAGAGCTGAACTGATCTGAAGCCAGGAGCCAGGAGCTTCTTCCAGGTCTCCCACAGGGGTGCAGGGGCCCAAGGACTTGGGTCATCTTCTACTGCTTTCCCAGGCCATAGCAGAGAGCTGGATCGGAAGAGGAGCAGCTGGGACATGAACTTCCATTTAGGTTTAAGCATTGTGACATTAAAAATCTGGCTCCCTGGTTACCTCAGTGTTGAGACAGAGTCATGGATATCATCCACACTGTGAAAAGTGGCATGTTTGTTTTCCAGAGTTTACAAATCAGATCATATCGGATTACCTGTGGGTGGAAGAGGAGGCAAGGAGGTGGATGATCTGTCCTTTCTGGAGGCAGTGCCAAGAGGGAGTTAAGAAGCTGCTCCAGTGTCCAGCTGCCAGGCTCAGATCTCACAGCACCACTGAGTTTCTTAACTTCTCTACTCCTCAGTTTCCTCATCTGTGAAATGGGCATGGCAATGCCAGTCAACCTAACAGGTGGAGCTGTTGAGAGGCCTGCATGAGAATATGCACAGTATTCTACGGTGTCACTTTCACTCCATGAGATCAGCAGAGCAAATGTCGTGGAGGTCCCACTTGAAGCCTTGGACAGTACCGAAACACAGATTGTTCTTCTTGGAATCTTATCTTTGAATTCATTTCTTCTCATTCGAAATTATCCTTATGCCTCTCACTGGATAATTGCATCAAGGACTTTGTCTTTTTATAAGAGCCTATGCATTTGGTACTCCACCTGTAAAGCCTTTTTAAATTAACTGTTTATTTGAAAGGCAGAGGGAGAGAGAGACAGAGACAGAGACAGAGAGAGAGAGAGAGAGAGAGAGAGAATATCTCCTATCTACTTGTTCACTCTCACAGATGTCTATAAAAGGTGAATTCTGGGCAGGAAAGAGTCAGGAGCCAGGAGCTCCACTTGAGTCTACCACATGGGTGACAGGGACCCAAGTAGTTGAGCCATCATCAGCTGCCCCCCAGGGTGCATTAGCAGGAAGCTGGATTGGATGTGGAGCCAGGACTCAAACTCAGATACCAGATGTGGGTGTTCACAGCCCCTAAATCTCTGTGCCAAATGCCAAGCCCACCCTGAGGTCTTCTTGCAATTTAACTCAGTCCACAGAGCCTTTAAATATGAGCCGTGGGCCGCTAGGTTGATAAGGAAGCCGTGGAACCACATAGGAGGGGTCTTCAGAGAGTTCCCAGAACATTGAGAATACTTTGAGAAAACTATGCTAGGATTCTGAAAAACTGCACTGAAGTAGACATTTCTGAGTTCCATTTCCCCACCAGCTGTTTGAAGTGCCCTGGCTGATGCTGAGGTGGTAGGAAGTGGAGTCCGACTGAGCCAGGATTTAAGGGGAGCTCTCTGTCACCTGCACTGTGTGAGTGCCTTCATTAGGAATCCGCTGGGTACCACTTTTCAGTCTTCATTCAACCGTCCAGCACCTGCTACGTGGTTAGGCACTGCACTGTGTTCCCGGGGAGGCAGTGGTAGGCAGACGGGGCGATCCCTGCCTCTCTGAGCGTCTGACAGGTTGGATCACGCAGTGGGAAGACACTCATGAGAGCAGCAGGATCTGCCCCTCACTCCCACTTTAAGGGATGACCCACCGCTCAGGGAGGGAGGCTGGACTCTGCGAAGACCACAGACAGCGGGCATTAGGACTGTTTCCTCTTTCTTGGGAACAGTGGGAGGGCTTTTCATTCCTGATGCAGCCCCCCAGCCATGACGAGAACACGGCTGGCTTCTGGAGAGCGCTGTATCCCCCGGGGCAGGTGCGGGCAGTGGATCTGGAAGCAGCTGCCGAAGACGGGCTGTGCTGATGGGTTAGAGAAGGCTTTCCCTCCGTGTGCTGGAATCTAATCATTCATCTCCTCAGGGGACAAACGAAATTAATCCTCTCTCCAGATGGCAGCAAAGTGACAAGAGTGAGGAGATTAAAAGAGCTTGTGAGGTTACACCGGTGACAGTGCTATCAATCGGTTCTGAAGCCTGGTGCTCTGTTCTCTCTGAAGGTAAATGGCACCATCTCACCTTGGCAAGTCTGATGGGCCTGGGGCCTGCAGGACAGCGCATTTCCACCAGTGCACCTCCCACTGGAGCCCTTGATGTTGCAGAATTGCTGTTTGTAAGAAGCTTGTCCTGCGTCTGTCCGATATTTTTTCCGTACGTCAGACTCTTGGGGCCCACTCTTTCCTGATGTCATCATTCTTACTGACTTGCCTAACACACTGGGACCGGGGTGCCTTCCTTCTCAGTGCGTCCACCTAGGAGGAGGGAAGGGAGGAATGTCTCTTGGGTTGGAGCGGGGAGGCTGAGAGACAACGCAGTCACAGCGACAGCTTCACCCGACTCCCAGGCCAGCGCTGCAGCTCCGTGTTCCCTCTTAGTTGCCTTTAGTTAGGGAAAAGACTAGATTTTTTAAAAAAAGATTTATTTATTTTTTGAAAGGCGGAGTTACAGAGAGAGAGAAAGGGATATCTTCCATCTGCTGGTTCACTCCCAAAATGGCCATAGTGGCTGGGGCTGGCCAGGCCAAAGCCAGGAGCCAGGAGCCAGGAACTTTATTTGGGTCTCCCACATGGGCAGAAGGGACCCAAGTCCTTGGACCATCTTCTGCTGCTTTCCCAGCTGCAAAAGCAGGGAGCTGGCTTGGAAGTAGAACAGCTGGACTAGGACCAGCGCTCGCTTCTATGGGATGCTGGTGAGCAAGCTGTGGCTCAGCTCATTACACCACAACGGTGGCCCCAAGACTGGATCTTTAAACCTCCAGGCCAGTCATTGATGTGGGCTGCCCCAGGGAGTGTGCATGACCTTGAGAAAGGTGGCCTTCTTGGGGCTGGTGCTGTGGCACAGCAAGTTAAAGTACTGCCTGCAGTACCTGCATCTCTTAAGGGTGCTGATTTGAGTCCTGGCTGTTCCATTTCTGATCCCACCTCCTGGGAAATCAACAGAAGCTGACCCAAGTGCTTAGGCCCCTGCCACCCACATGAGAGACTTGGAGGAGGCATCTGGCTCCTGCCTTGGGCCTGGCCCAACCCTGGCCAATGCAGCCATCTGGGGAGTGAACCAGCGGATGGAAGACCTCTCTCTCTCTGTGTCTCTCCCTCTCTCTGTAACTCTGCCTTTCAAATGAATAAATAAAACTTTAAAAGGAGGGGGGGTCTTCCTCAGCTCTTCAACAAGCTCTTCAACTGTTCCTGGGGGAATATCTTGAATCTTAAAGGAAAGAGAGAGAGAGAGAGAGAGAGAGAGAGAGAGAGAGAGAGAGAAATCTTCCATTCTTTGGTTCTGGGCCAGGCTGAAGCCAGGCACCTGGAGTTCCAACTGAGTTTCCCAGTGGCAGGGGCCCAAGCACTCGGGTCATGTGCTGCTTTCCCAGGTGCACACGCAGGGAGCTGGATCAGAAGCGGAGCGGCTGGGACTCGCACTGGGACTCCCATACAGGATGCCGGTGTCCCATGTTGCGGGGAGCAGCTTGACGCCGACTCTGTTCTAACATTTGTAATTGTCTGTGCACTCTAACCTCAGTCCCCTCACTTCAAACTCATCCTGTTTCCTAAACCAATCTCTTCCTGATGTTTCTTTCTCCCCATTTTACTAATTTCCTTTTTTAATATGCTTGAGATCTGAACACCTTCTTACCCCCATCTACCATCCTATTGTCTAAACCTCTGAGCTCATCTGCCACTCTTGTTCTGTTTCTACAAGTGACACTTATCCGGACAGCAGCAGAAATACTGATAGCAATAGTGTGACCTTGGAGATGGCTTTCTACTTCTCTAGTATTTATACAGACCTGGCTGTTATCGACACATTTTATATATAACATTAACACACGAGTTTCTCATAACAACCCTATGAGGTAGATACTATCATCAGACCCATTCTACAGACGAAAAAACAGAGGCACAGAGAGATTAATAAGATGCCCGATATTGCACAGCTCTCAACCTCAGAATTAGGAACCCCAGAAACTTGGCTCTGGAGGTTGTGCTGTTGGCTGTGTGGCTAATCCACCTGCAGCCAGGGCTTGGCTGCCACTGACATCCTGCTCGCCTTCATCACTGCCAATCCCTTGCTGCCTCCCAGACCTCGATGGTGTAGTTCAAGTCGTGTCTCATCGCCCCACGTTGATGAAGGGCTTACTTTTCATCTCACCTTACTCTTCTCTGGACTTCTTTGCGAATAGCAAGTTTGGTGGGATCCATCAGGTTGCTTGCAAGACCACCTCAGTGGCCTGCTGACGGGTCCCTAAAAATTCACGCTCGGTTCATCTTCCCTGGTGCACACAGAACCACCTGGGGAAAATGGAAGAGCTAGTTCCCTGCTCAAGCCTTCTCGGTGGATTCCTGTAAAATTCAAAATTCTTGCATGGAAAGGCTGCAATTGTCTCCTAAGGCAGCCACCACCCTGGCCTTGCACCGTGGCCCCACGGCCAAGAGGATGCCCCCAGGAGCCCATGTGTGCCCCGCCCTTTGCCTGGAAGCTCCTCCCACAGGTCTCCCTCCTCTTCCTCTTCCTTCAGTTCAGATGTTCCTCTTCTGTCTCAAAAGCATCCTCCTCCTACTATGCCCTCCCCCTCCCCCATTTGTGATTCGTAGCTTTTCTGGTAGGATCCATCCCTGCTTGACCTGAGCCTAAAACAGCGCCTGGCACAGAGCAGATCTCCACCAATACCGGGTATGAAAGACCGGCTGGGCGCGCACAGGAGTCGGGGCGGGACTGCTGTGGGTGCAGGCAGGCGCTTCCTCCCTCAGCCAGCAGGGGGCTCTTCCACTCTCCAGAATCCAGAAGAGGACGTGAGTACCTTCACAGTGTACCTGAAATTCTGCCTCATAAAACCGGTAACATCCACATCTTTCCCCCTCCAAGTGGGATTGTGCCAGCCCGGGCGAATATTGACCTCTGTGTTCACAAACAAGGCTTGCTTTCTGTAGGTGGCCCTCCAAGGATCTCGCCAGCTTGGTGTGAGAGGGGTATGAGGCTTGCTGCTGGAAACTCTGATTTTTCGTTCACTCACCAAGACGCGTTGTCAGAAGTAAAGCGGACGGCACCAGTGGGACAACAGCGCAGCAGGAATGGAAGTGTGTGGAAGTGTGTCAGCCTCGTCAGTGAGTCAGCTGCCGGGGTGAAGTCGTTCTCTTCTCTTGTGTGTTTCTAGCCTTTGGAAGCAGAAGCACTTTTCTCTCCGTGTTTTCTGTCTTTGCAGAACAACTTCTACGTGATAACTTGCCCGTCTAATAAATCTTATTGGGAACACGTGAACTATATTGTTACACATAACATCTTCTTTTGGAAAGTAAGTTCCCCCCTCCCCAAAGTAAGACGGTTTTAAAGTTTGTATTAATTTAGCCATTGCGAAATCCCCACTGGGAGAAATTGCTAGTGCGTTTGAATGGGAGTATTGTCCCTTGGCCATTTCCTTTACAGTAGGTTCTGGCTGGAGTGCCAGTCTCACTGCCAAGACAAAAAGAACTATATATTAGGGCTCATGCTCTGCCAACACAAAGCAAAAGCTGGTCTGGCCACACTTCACCGTTGTCAGGAAGGCCTAGGTGTAGTCCAAAGGACGTTCATGCACCTCCTATTCTATTTCTCATGTCTGTTTCTGCACAAATGGCCCTTAATTTTATGCCCAAGAAAATTTGCCTCCCTCATCAGGCAGTGGTTTCCTGGAAAAACTACAGTAGGCTTTTGTAAGTGAACCGGAGTAAAAGGATTCCTGCAGAGGGGGAGAAGGAAAACCCAGGGGCTAGACAGATACCTCTGCGGCTGCCTCGCGGGGTGATTTTAACCAACAGAACTGCAATGTTATTTTCCAAATAAGATTTCTCATTGCAATCTTATTTTCCAAACTGTAAACCAATTTCAGCCCAGATATTTTTCTTTCTTTGTAGGAAAGAAAATTGACGTGCTTGGTGTAGGCGGGGGAACTGAATGTTGTCCCTGGTAGGGATGAGGAAGCAGGTAGAGGTGTGTGATGGTCTGGTGACCTGACTCAGCAGCTGTCGCTTCAAGGGGTTCCTGGAAATGCAGAGCCTCACATCAAAGTGGGAACAGATAGAACGATACTTGTAGTCCTTCGCGAATGTCTGCCCCGTGTGGGCCGAGATGCCTGCCAGTTAGTGTGTATGGATGACAGCAGCACCGACAAAATGGGCATGCTTTCTGTGCTCAGGGAGCTTAAGAAAATGTGCAGAAGGGATTCTGCATGTGTGACCAAGGCTCGAGATCATTACCAAGGTCATTAAGATCATTCCATAATACTAAGGGCTGCGACCCAGACTCGTCTATCTCAGGAAACAGTAGGTCTCAATTCCATGTTTAAAAACTGAAATTGGGCTGACACTTGGGTGTACTTCATCTCTAGAAAGAGCACCACAATATATCCAGAAATATTTGGCAACATGCAGCCCTCTGGGTGAGATCTATGGGGGTTGGAGGGCAGGTCAGTGTATTTTAATAAGAATTAAATAGAAGCCCATTCCTTTTCCTGGGTGTTTACTGAGCACCTGCTCTGTGTCAGCCCCAGTGCCAGGATCCTCAAGTTCCTTATCATCAGAAAGAGGATATGGCATGAGCATTTAGTTACTGAAACAGAGAGGGCATGGGGCTGAGGGCCTGGGGGGCTGCCGACATAGTTCAGAGGAAGGTGAAGGTCACTCACAGAGGGGAAGCTGGGGCAAGGGTTAGTGGCAGGTGGATGTTCTAGGACAAACTGAAATAGTCTGGAGACAGGCATGTGCCCGGGCTGAGCCCAAAGCAGTAACTGCTTTGGAAACTTCGGTTCCCCTCAGCATGTGTCAGATACCCGGCCAGAACCCCACGCTGGGGTCAGGGGCAGGGCCCCGGGCCCTGGTTCAACCTTCCAGCAAGCATCTTCCCCTGCCGGGCTCTCCTTCCGTGATGTTTCCTCGGGTCATTCCATGCCACTGGCTCCAGGGCCGCCTGTGAGCAAGTGGTGTCTGTTTCCCCCAGTTTTTCTGTCTCCTTCCATAGAATGCCAGCTGTCACTCCCACTCACAAGATCACAGCCCTCTTTCCAAAAGTGCGTAGTCCTGTCCTGACCCTCGACCACTTGATCAAGGAGCTTTCGGATTCTGCATCGCTGGGTCACGTGGTAGCCCGTGGGCTGCCGTGTGGAAAACTGGGGATGGAAAGCTGTCCCCACCTTCGGCTGCTGAAGCGACACACGGATTCATGTGTCTTGAAGGAGAGGCAGGAAATGGAAGGGAGGTGGCTCCTGTCTGAAGCACCAGGCTCCCTCCCTGCTGTGCTGGGAGACTTAAGCTTCCCCCAGACACAGCCAAGGCGTGAGCAGTCTCACCCTTGCTGCAGGCACCTCCTAGAATGGGAAGAAGCTGAGAGCTGGGATGCTGGCTGGGACACTACGCGACGTGGCCGCCTCGTCTCCCGCGTGGCGACAACATGATGCGCAGAGGGGCTTCAGGGTGCCGGGGCGTTCCCGCAACACCTCTGCAGAGACAGCACAGGGCCCGCCACACACTGGGTGCCTTATGAACATCGTTAGTATCAACCTCACTCCTCAGCTGCTGCTGCTGTCCACCTGCTGACCTCTGCCTTGCATTTTTAAATGAATCAAGCCATTCCCACCCTTCAACATTTGTCCCCCAAACCAGCTGGCTTTGCACCCATTTCATGAAACTGGGAGCCCTGTAGAATCCTGTTAAACCATTTGAAGGAAAACACAAGTAGTCAACGTTGCTGACTACTGGTAGACCTGACCAGTACACAGTTTTAGCTCCGTTTCTGCCCTAATGACAATACCCACCCACGTCCCTTGTGCTGCACTAAGTCACTGTCACATCAGAACTTATCCAAATCTCTTTCTAGATGTGGGGTCGCAGACCTTCTGGGGGTCACCCCTGGCGAATCTGCGACTTCTCCAGCCTCGCGCTGAAGCCCCTTCTCCACCTCTGTCCATTCTCTCCATCAGCACCGCTGCCTGTCACCCACGGGGGCTTTCCATCAGGGCCGTCTCTAACCACCAATTCCTCCCCTCTAGCCCCGAGCGAAAACTGCTGCCTCTTTTCCAGTTTACGAAAGACGTGGACGCGCGGCTACACTCTTCACTTCTGAACACTCAGCCAATTACGAATTGGGAACCCTGGAAACAATTACAAAACGTTCTTCAGAAGAAAATGGCACCCTGTTTCACTTCATTACCTAGGAGAGCATTTGTGCGGCTCCTGCTGAGGGGCACACATCTGTATGTTTTGTTTTAAAAAATGGTTCTACTCACATTTAATTATTCTTAAAGCTTCGTAGGGTCCTGGATGAAAGATGTCACTGCGGCGTAAAGTTCTACTATTATTTATTTCCCTAGTCATCAACATTAGTTGGTTTCTCCTCTCTTGAAACCTGTTTATCACTTGTATAAATATAGCATTTGGTGAGCTTCCTGCATTTGATCATCTCCCGCCCTCTTTGTGCCCTTGACATTCTTCCACTTCCCTGTGGGGCCTGCTGAGACATTAATGCTGTGGCCTCTTCTACTTTAATACAGCTTTTGAAAAAAGATTTATTTATTTATTTGAAAGTCAGAGTTCCACAGAGAGAGAAGGAGAGGCAGAGAGAGAGAGAGAGGTCTTCCATCCACTGGTTCACTCCCTAATTGGCTGTAATGGCCAAAGCTTCACCTATCCAAGGCCAGGAGCCAGGAGCTTCCTCTGGGTCTCCCACATGGGTTTAGGGGCCCAAGCACTTGGATCATCTTCTGCTGCTTTCCCAGGCCATCAGCAGGGAGCTGGATCAGAATTAGAGCAGCTGGAACTCAAACCGGCACCCACATAGGATGCTGGTGTCGTAGATGAAGGAGGCTTAACTTACTACGCCACAGCACTGGCCCCAAGGTGTTTTCAACTTGTGATGAGTGTATCAGGAAGTCACCCTATCATAAGTCCAGAAACATCTGCACCTTGACCAAAGCCTTACAGAGGGACCCAGATAAGCCACACCCAGACTTCTGACCCACGGAAGCTGTGACGTAGTGTGTGTAGGCCCAAGCTGCTAAGTTGGTGGCAATATTATTATACAGCAATATGAACTGATATATGCAGCTAATATATGGAGTCCCTCTTCTGTGGACGCTTCATATATTGTACATAGGTCCATTACTGCATTTAGATTGTGTAATTTTTTGTAGGTCTGGCTCCCCTGTATGTGATGAGAACCATAATCGTAATAACCACTGATGCAGAGTGGAAATGTGCATTGACTCTCTCAAGCATGCAATAAAAGAAAAAGGCAGCTTTCCTTCCATCTCTATCTGCTCTCGTCTCTGCCTAGAGCCCTCCCTTGATGATGGCTGGGCGGGGGGATTGGGGGGAGATGTTCTCCCTTATATGTGGGAGCTAACGTTAAAGGGAAGGAAGGAAGAAAGAAACAAAGAAGGGCCTGTGTGTATCAGTTTTCCTGCAAATATAGTATTGGTCAAACTTAGGTTTATTTATTTATTTATTATAATTAGTTATCTACTTGAAAGCTGGAGTTACAGAGAGGGAGAGGCAGAGGCAGAGAGAGAGAGGTTTTCTACCCGCTGGTTCACTCCCCAAATGGCTGCAAAGGCCAGGGCTGGGCCAGACCGAAGCCAGGAACTAGGGGCTTCATCTGGGTCCCCCACGTGGGTGCAGACGTCTAAGAATATGTCAGCCTTAATGGCGATCAGTGAGATGGAAATTAAAACCACAGGAGATACTATTCACACTCATAAAACTGGCAAAAACCTAAGAGTTTGACAATATCTGGTGTTGGGCAGAATGGAGCCTCTCATAGATGTGAGGGGTGTTCAGACCGGCACAGCCACTTCAGAAAGCAAGTGGGCATCACCTAGGCGAAGCTGAACATGGGCACGCTCAGTAATCCCACCACCAGACCCTGAGAAAGCCTTGTGCTTGTGCCCCAGGAGAGCTACAGAAGAACGCTGACGGCGACGACTTGAAAACGATTCCAATGACCACGCACGTGTGAGGAAGTCGATAGGCTGTGGTGGACCCATACAACGTGATGCCCCTCATCAGTTAAATAAATGGCTGAATTACGGCGGCGTGGTCCATAGGGGCGAGTCTCAAGAACACATTGCAGAAGAGAAAGGCGTGTCAGATGAGGGAGAAAATGCAAGCATGTGCCCTTTCATCTAAAGGCTGACGACAGGCAAAACCAGGCAGCATTTTGTTTAGGACCCAGACATGAATGCCAGATAGGCAATTAAGGGCAGAAGACACGACAAAGATGACCCCTGGTGGGGGAGGAAGGAGGGAGAGAGCAAATTAGAGATGAGCTCTCAAGGCTTCCAGAGTAGTAACCTCCCAGGAGTTCAGGCAAAAGACTTTCCCAGGAAAAGAAATTGGCCTCTCTGGGTCATGTGCTCGCCCACAGGGTGGGAAGAGGCACCAGGATCGGCTGTCCCACAAGACCACATGGGTGGGGGAGGACCCCATCTCTACTGGGAAGAGACAATTCTGTTTCCTGGAGGGAAGGCCAGACCAGGTTAGAGGAGATGGCATTAATGCTTCACCTTCACTCTTTTTTTTTTTTTAATTTTTTACAGGCAGAGTGGACAGTGAGAGAGAGACAGAGAGAAAGGTCTTCACCTTTACTCTTGCAAGAAGGGCTTGGAGTACTGGCAGAAGCCTCCTCTGGCTGGGTGGCTACTTTTAAAGAAAAGCATTTTTCATTAATAGACTTCCAACCTGAGCAGATGACCGGGGAGATCCTACATAGCCTCTCCCTACCTCCTGGAGTCCCTCTCAGTGGCGTCTTGCAGTAGTGTGGTATGTGTGTTAAAATTAATGAACTAATGCTGATAAATTATCATGAAATAGAGGCCTTAGTTTGTACAAAGTGTCACTCTTTTTTTTTTTTTTTTTGACAGATAGAGTTAGACAGTGAGAGAGAGAGACAGAGAGAAAGGTCTTCCTTCTGTTGCATCACCACCCAAATGGCCGCTAAGGCCAGAACTACGCCGATCCAAAGCCAGGAGCCAGGTGCTTCTTCCTGGTGTCCCACGCCAGTGCAGGCTCCCAAGCACTTGGGCCATCCTCCACTGCCTTCCCGGGCCACAGCAGAGAGCAGGACTAGAAGAGGAGCAACCAGGACTAGAACCTGGTGCCCATATGCGATGCCGGCGCCGCAGGTGGAGGATTAGCCAAGTGAGCCAGAAAGTGTCACTCTTTGCTGGGCACCCACTGTGATACTGTCACACAGCATGAATTCACATGTGAAAAATCCTTGGTGGTGCACCTGCTCGCCATCATCTGCAGCTGTTGGATTCTATAGCAAAGGTGACAGCCGCAATTCTAGTTCAAGAAATTGCATATGGGGCATGCATTTGGCCTGGTGGTTAAGACAGGATGCCTGTGGCTTGCCTTAGTTTTACTCTTGGCTCTGGCTTGTGGTTCTAGCTTCCTGCTATGCAGACCCTGGGAGTAATCCCACTGTTAGACTCTACTGCCGGCAGGTGATGGCTCAAGTGGTTGAATCCTTGCCACCCACATGGGAGACCTGGATGGAGTTCCCAGCT